ATGCTACCGTCTTGGGAGGCATGAGTAAACTAAAAATTGAAAAGAAAGATAGAATAAATGGCATTACTAACTTAATAAAATATGATTTAAATATGTTTTTGTTCGACTGATTCAGTAAATCAAAACTAAACTATTCGGGAACATTTACTTCAGTTTATTTCTATTAAAGATCTTTAGAATTGTCCAGCTTCAACCGCATCGGACTTCACTGATTAGTGATAACAGCTTTCATTCGAATTCAAACTAGATTCCGATTGAGTTATAATATCATAGAGCAGTTCATCTTAAATTCACCGCCAACAATGATCACCAAAATATTCCTTTCTTTATTAATTATTATTTATCAACGCCGGCAGTATTCATCGGGCACGTAATCATTATTTTCATTGGTCGAAACGATAAACTGACTCATAAAAATATGTTTTATATCAACAGTCGACGTAATAAATCTGTTGATGATAGTTTGGTCAATATAAGGTAAGTTTCACTCTGGCGATCTTTTCGATCGTTTGATCCCAGCAGCAGATATTTTATACGGCTTTTTTTTAATCAGAAAAACAACGCATATCATTCAAACGACGATAGTTATTTTTGACTAGCAAAAGCTCGCAGAAGCTTAGCACACACTGAAGATCGAACTCAGAGTTAATTCATTTGCAATTTATTTTCGGTAGATGCTTAATATTTACTTGACTTAGATAATACTGCCATCAGGCTGCAAAATTGGAGTGTAGTTAGTGAGATTAGTGAGAATCAAGCTATTAATAATGATATGTGAGAAAAAAGCTTGTTAACCATTACACAACAGCAGCTGTCTCGTTCAATATGTTAAGCACGGTGGAGAAATTCATCTGACATGAAAGTTCGGTTGTCATGAATTAGTTCATATCTAGTGAAAATTTCTCTTTAACTTTTTCATGATGCAACTTTTTCCAACTGTCCATCTATATGTTTCCCTTGAATTAGAAATAAATGTGTAAAATTGCATTTGTTGACTTAACATTGGTTGGGAATTTATTCCATATATGGTTAAACTGTGAAACCTTTAAGAATAAATTTACTGGTACGTTATCTTTGATTTCTTTCAGTGTCAAAATGACTTTCTGGAAGTTGGAGAAGGCACCCAAAGTATACACTTCCGTTAGTAGCAAAATAAATCATATATAAATAAGAAATCATTTATCTACTGATTATGTCCATAAAATCGTTATAGTGGCAAGAATGAGGAAATTATTTCACTCGAAAAATGCAAATGTAAAATGTGGTTGGTGACATTTTCTGAGATACACAGGGAATAAAACACTTTGCGAGTCTTTAAAAAGAAGACTCTTTCTCTTCTTTTCTGATAAAAAGTCATGTATTTTGGTGCGACCATTTATGTATATTTACTAAACTTTATTCTGAAACAAGACTGTGAGGACCAAACTCACAAAAGTATCGTATTGATATTCATTGCGCTATGGTAATCATCCAGTGATGATTCTGTCAAGATTATGTAAGTGTTTCTATAAATTTCTTATTACTTATAACGATGTATGGACTACCAGAAATTTAAGAGGAGACCAACTAAAATGACTTCACTCAAAAGAGACAAATTTAATCATAACATTTCTAAGTAAACTTAAAAAGCATCTTTTCTGTTAATTCATCCCAATTAATTTAAAGTTACCGAAAATATTAATTCACACCAAGAAATTATAAATTTTAAATCAAAGTTTGTTTGTTTTTTTATTAAATTTTTGGCACTCATTTGAAATTATGAATTTTAAATCAAACTTTGTTTAGTTTGCCAGGAAGTTGCTGGAGTTAATACAAGAATGTATTGACAAGGAGAGTCGCGTTTTCGCTCCTTCCTGAGAGCCAATATTCTTCGTACGTCGATGGAATGCTCATAAAGGACATGATATGAGTTATCAGATCGACAGGATAGATGGCGCTGCATTAGTGAATGCCATGAAAAGAAGTCGTTTAGGAAAGGGAATTGGCTCCATGGGTCAAGACTTTCCGACCATAAAACCATATTATTTATTCATTTCAAGGCAAAAAATAACAATGAATTAGAAAGAATTTAAAAAAAAATTTTGGTTTGAAATTTATTAAATATAAATTCTTTTTTTTTTATTTTGGGGTGAATTAACAGAAAAGATTCATAAAGGTTACGGTAAGTAAATGCAATATTGTTTGCAAATTATCCGTTATTCATTTTGTTTATGAATGTATGTCCATAAATATTTTACCTGTTTTATTTTAGTTAATATCTACATAATCCCGGAAACTTTATGATATGACAAGTGAGGACCGAACTGAGAAGCATAGAAAAATGTATTTTTTACAGTAGATGAATTAATTTAGTCATTTACTTCCCTGAAATCATCTCATCAGAAGGAAGAAAGCACTGTGAGGATCGAATTCATTCATTCAGAATAGTTTATAAGACTTGATGGCTAATTATTGCTCTACAGCAGGCATGTCATGTATATGTTGTCTGGCTAGCAAATAAAATGCACAAAAACAAATATATATTTTCATATTTATAAGCAAAGAAGAATAGACAAGTGTGAACAGATTGACGTAAATGTAAAGAGACTGACATAGATAGACAGGGAGGAATATATGCACAAGGTAAGCAATCAGTTACCTCTCTCGTCAGATGTGAAAAGACATCGTTTTGAATAGATTTGAATAAAAAATTGTGTCATGTAAAACTATTAACATGATAAATAGATTCATTGAATTGCAACGACGTATCCTGTTTTTCTGACGTCAGAGAAATTGTTTATCTTTTAATTTTCATATTTCTTTCTATTGCTTCTCCTATTTGGAGCCTGAATAGTTTGTTGTTTGAGCAAAGTAACATATACATATATATTGCATACATAACAGGCCAAAGATGGCCTTCCCATGGTCACGCATTCTTCGAACTTGATGAAGTGAAACAAGAAGTCTTCAGCCATAAAATTGTTATAATCACATTCTTTACTTGTTGAAATTCAAACCTGCTATAAAAGTATTTTATTTTTGCAAAAAGTAAAAGTAAAATGTCCAACTGGAAAGAACATCGACGACGATTGTTAATTTGTAAACTCTATTAGAATTGACGAGCACTTGGGATTCTTTATAATGGCGTAGTTTCCACCTAAAAAATCAGTGTTCGAGTTCCGTTATCCTAAAAAGATTTTCAATGCATGTATCTGAATAAAATAAAATAAAAGAGTCGGTGTGTTCACTTTTACTTTATGTAACTCTTTGAAGGATTGTCAAAATCTTTATGCTATTATTAAGAGAAAAGACCAAATAATTTATTGATTATTAAATTATATTTTGATCCCTTTTAGAACGTTCAGAATTTTGTTTAAAACTTTGCTTTTCTTGCGTCATCGGCGGACCAAAGATTAGTATAGGAAATTTTAGCGTCTTTTTGTTGTAGTGAAAAACACATTGATTTGGAAATTCTTGCGAAAACCAAATAATTATCGAATTTTAATGAAACTTTCAGGAGTTATTCACAATTGAATGTAAGTTTTTGAGAAAACATTAGTAAAACATTTTTTACATCTGTTACCACCCCCACTCATTCTAAATGCTGTACTTCATTTACTTTTGATGATTCGTCAGATTTTCCTAATGGCAAAAATATTCCTTTTCGTCAAATATTTGGTGTAAGAAAAAACAAGGTCTTTTTTAATATGAGTGGGGACAAAAATAATTAGCACGTATATCTTTTAATCTACTTCGCTTAGGGCAAAATAGAAATGTAATCAAGGGAACACATAACCAGAAGCTACTTTTCGTATCTGGCAAATCAACATGAGAAAAAGATGTTAGGGAAACGGGTCCACTGAGACTAAGTTTCTATTTTCATCGCCCAAAAACAATGAATTATATTTGGTTTCATAACTATGGATGCAATATAAGATGGCACAGGGCTTTTATATGTGAACAGATAAAACTGTCTTGTCTTTTAGTCTATCTGGCAATATTCTTTTACATGGATAAAATGTAAGACTTATTTGTATAGATTCTTGTATTATTTTTTCCTCTCATTCTTCAAACAAGTTTATGAACTGATTGTAAATTGCTGTTTACTAAACATACTTTAGCCTCGACCATAACTGAGTGGTAAAGATTGTTGCTCATTAGTTGTCTAAGGCAAAGCATCCATTAGCATCATCAAAATATGATTTAGTATACAACAATGTCATAAACATGAAGTAGTTAATGGGGAACAAACTCACTGCAACAAGTGATAGATTAGCTTTGCTAATAGTTACTTGACAATGAAATCTTGCTGTCCTTTTGTTCTCTTACCTTGGTCTGATACAAGATAATAAATATGGAGCACCTAGTTAGGATCTATGTCGTTGTACTTACTATTACCTGCATGATTTTATTGCAAAGTGTGCTTGCTAATCTATTCTATTTTATATGATACAAAGAGATCTTTTTAATTGTCAATTTGATGTACGTATCAAATCAAGAGGGTTGATAAAACCATCTCTCCACTTTATCTATTCGATGCTAAAGCTGATAAACAGAGTGAGATACAGAAACACCAATGTATTATGAAAATATTACACTTCCAAAATATCCAGGTTGGAATCACTTTCGAATTAATCTCAGATCTTTTCCAGACAATTCGCTAGAGGAATTTGTAAAATTTTTGAATAACTCAACTGACTATGTTTTGGTGTTCTATGTCGAGATCATCTATGTTCTATTTCTAAAAATCTGTGAAAAGTCTTTTGTTGTTTATATCTGCAAAGCGTTTCAGCAGTGTATACAATCATCAAATTTCGTGCAAGACTATTGATTGAAAATAATAAACATGCGCCTTTCTCTCTCAAACAGTTCCCAGGATTGATTTACTTGTTGGAAAAAGTCAATCTCATCCACATCTCATTTAATGTGTATCAATGTATTAAATAAAACTGTAAACAAATACTACTTGCCTGTTATCTGTTCTATAGGAAACATACATTTGACGCAATATTATTCGGCATAGGGCCATATCAAATTGAAACGCTGGTTTTCATACGCTCACCGAAGTTAAGCAACATCGAGCCTGGTCAGTACCAAGATCTGTGACCACTTGGTAATATCAGGTGCTGGAAGCTTGGATGTGCAAGGTGTATAAGGAATATAGCTCAGAATTGGAAATCAGAGGGCCGACTTTCAATTGCAATCAGGATCATTATATTCAATTACGTGCAATTACCATTAGGAAAGGTATGAAACCACCTCTTCTCCCCAAGATATGGGTTAATTAGTAAGATTTGTATGATTAAATCATCATCATCTCAAAAAAATCTTACAATCTAAAAATATTTATGACTTTAAATAACTTGCAAAAGGTTTACAAGTCGTTAAAAAAATAGCACCAAAAACATCACTAACAAAAAAGCAATAGCAACAATATTCTTTTGAAAGGGTACCCCAACGCCGTCGGGTAGGAATAAAAGGTACGCAGGTAGAGGTTTCAAAACTCTGCGTCTATGTCCAGAACAGAATTTGTGTTTTTATTTCTCTGATAAAAATACGTTGCCAATATTTTTCTTTCAACTTGAAGGAAACAAGAATTTTCGTAATAACAAAAGAGAGGATTAACTGGCTCATCTTGCGAACCACTTTGAGTAAACTGATCCTCTCTTTGGGCGACATTATTAAGGTCTCGTACCAGATTTAATTTGTACACCTTTACTTTAACGCCAAGAGTATAAATCAATTATTTGTAAGTTTATTTACAACCTCATTAGGTGAATTCAACTTAACCCAGGTATTTCAATATTAAAGCCATATATATGTTTAGAAAATCTCTAAGCGTATAAGTCTGTAAGAAAGTTTCGTAAATCAAAGCAAGCAAGTTCAATTCCAACTGAATGCATAATTGTTGATGCCTTGTATCTCACTTGCCTTAGTAAATATTTACCATGTATAATAAATAGATGTGTTTAGTTGTTTTTTTTACTGGTCTGATTAATGTAGAAAATAAAAGTTTTAATCCAATTCAAACGGTATATTCGAATGAGAGGAAATATGAATTCAAAATGTTACTATAAGTGCAGAAGATCAAAATCAATGCTTTATCTTGTGATTATTGTTTATCGATTTGTCTGGCAAAAACTTGTCGCACAGCAAAATGAGGGTCGATATGCCTTTTGGTTAGTAAAGAAAGAAAGAAAGAAAGAAAGAAAGAAAGAAAGAAAGAAAGAAAGAAAAATAAATAAAGAAAGAAAACATCAGGCGTTATTAAAGAACAATGAAAAAGGAAAATATAAAAAGAAACCAGCAAATAAAAGCGATTTCTATTTGAATATGCGCATCAGTTGATTTTCACGAGAATGGATCAGTGCTTGGAATTGTCGCTTTTTCAACACAACCAATATTGTCTAATTGAATTATTTACAAATTTTCCCTGAGGTGAGATTAGCGCATTCATCATTGTCTACATATACACATTGCCCTCTCTCTCTCTCTCTCTCTCTATATATATATATATATATATATATATATATATATATATATATATATATATATATATATATATATATATATATATATATATATATATATATATATATATATATATATATATATATATATATATATATATATATATATATATATATATATATATATATATATATATATATATATATATATATATATATCCTCCTACTGCATACATCAGGATACTTCTACTGTCCGACATTCACGTTTTCTTCTTGTTGAACATTGATACATAGAAACAGAAAAATTTAACACACATAAACATAAAAAAATATGTACAAATGAAAAATGACTATAAGCGAGGTGATCTAGTGTTGCCCGGGCTACATTATTTTCTGAACATAGAAAAGCACTAATACACTTTGACAGCTATTAACCATTGCATTACCCAGAGGTTTCCATTGAAAAATTAAAATCGTTCGCATCCCTACTAAATACCAAGGTGGCGAACAGATCATTGCTAAATTTGAACGAAGAAGTTAGAATAAAAAGGATTCATACGAAAGCACGTATATAATTTCGAATTCATACATAATATTTATATTATAATTTCATCATATTCTCTTCTTCTTTACTAATTTACACGTTTTTCTGATTTGAAAAATATATTTCTCTGTTCGATATAATCATTTTTCTTCCTTTGAACTTTTTCTTCTTTCTTTTTATAGTTCTTTTGATCTTTCCTTTTTTCTTTTTCCTTTCGTTTTATATATTTTAGCCTAAATTCTGAAGAGGGATGAAAATATAAAGAGTGTGTTGCACCAATACTCGTAATATTATTTAGTGCTTGCTTTGAAAATTCGCATTTGCAGTCCCCCTTTTTTACTGGGCTCAAACATTACAAATGTTATTCGTGGATTTCTTAAAAAGCTTCTAAAACCTTATCTTCTTGCCTACTTGTATCAAAGATGAATACACAACTTATTTGAATCAATAAGTTCGTAGGTTGGAACATTATTTTGCTGTCAAGTTTTGATTCGTTTATCTACAGTGTTCTATTTATGGGATTAATATTCACACCTGAATCAAGTGCATTGACAAGGATGACTATCTGAGAAAATGTCTTTGTCTAAACTAAACCTCGCAGAGTTGAAGATTTCGTCAAGAGAAATGGCGGTAAGACTAAGATTTACAAAGATTTAAATATTTGCATGAGATGTGCCGAAAAATATAAGTAGTCAAATCCACAGTCAAAATTTTCTAATTTTATTAACACAGTAACTAGAGTATCGGCTGTCCTTTCGCACTAGTAATATTTTTGACTTAGTTTAGTACGGTATAAAGCTACTGTTGTAGGGAATTGTTCAATGTGGATGGATTACATTACACCAAGAATAATCAGCGTGATTAGGTTTTTAATAATCGCTCTATGGCAGAAATCTCTGAATTTCATTTACAAAGTTTAACAGAAACTGGCATAAGGTCATAATTATTGAGATCTTAGTGATAATCAAACATTGCAGAAGTGAAGATCTACCAGAAGTGGTTTTTAGAAGACACCCTAATCCTTGTGTGTGAGTGCGTATTTTTGCCTCATTGTATGTTAGCGCTAATGAACGTGCGCGTATGTATGAAGCCTCTCTCTATCGGATCGTCTTTAAATTTCATATCATAGGAGAATTAAATACTTTTTTCAAAGGAAAGGGAAAAAAGAGCGTTTCAATGACTTATTTTTCTGGGTCAGGCGACGAAAAGGAAATTGTCGTCAGAATGAAAAACACGACAGAATAAAGTAAATCCTTGTTGATAAATAATGTCATTTGGTGTCAATTAAAAAGTAAGTCATGACGACTCCAGCAAAAACACACGTATTCACACACAGTAGAATGTGGAAGGCTTAGCACACACACACACACACACACACACACACACACACACACACACACACACACACACACACACACACACAAATACATACATATATATATAAATACATATATATATAGTATGTATGTAGTTATATATTTTGTTGTGCCTCTCCCGCATAGAAATTAATAGCCACCTGAGAGTTTGCAACATATGTGAAAGCCTCTCCCAAACCTTCTTTCGCAAGCCAAGCCATGATATATATATATATATATATATATATATATATATATATATATATATATATATATAATCTTGGGCGTGTTAAGGAAATAATATAACTCATTCTTTGTTGTAAAGAAGTGTCTAGCAAACTCGTCTCACAGACAATTTCTAGTGTAAAGAGAGGTTCCTACCTTTACTGTCTTTACTAACTCTTCTTGTGGCCTTAACTAAGCGTAATAAATGTTGGCGCCTCGCTTTCACTAGTTCGATCCTCACCAGCTGAATCTTCCCATTCACCTTGAGTAAGACTGGAAAATCTTGATATATAACTATAAAATGATTTATACTACAACCAATAAACGATTGATAAAAATTATTCATCATTTCAAGGAAGGATTCTAGATGTGATTAAATATTTAGCTGAGTTCCACCCGAGTCTATAATAATAGCGTACCCAGTAAGCTTGAGTTTCACAATAAAACTATTGTTTCAATGGATTTGGATCGTTACTAAGAATGAAAGTCACTAACAATGGCTTGCAAGAACATTCTAACTTATATGAAAAAATAGATTTTAAACTTAAACTAAAGAGTCATGAATTGGAAACGAAAATTCTAAGTTATTTTACGTAGAAGAACCAGTTATGAAGTGGAAAATAAAATCTTACCTTTTGAAAGCATGTGTTGTATTTTCTTTTAATTAAAATTAACTCCATTCTATTGGGTGATTCTTTATCGATTGTAATTTAAATAAAAATATCAGATGCGCAGAAAAATTCTCGACCTGACCACTTCTCAAAATATTCTAATTTATGTTCCTTGAAATACTGATTTTATGACAGAACTTTTCACCGACTTCACATTTTCCATCTTTATAAAACTCTTTACTTTTACAGGCTCAAAAATGTTGTAAAACTGAAATAATCACCATCTGATTGTTATTTTTTTTAGAAGTCTGGCACCAGGTACAAACAAATATTTTTATTGATTATGCCGAACCAATTCCTCGTGAATCATTGCAACTCGAAGCTTATTTAATCTGTGCTAAAACAATATTTTGCCAACAAATACGTTCAAACGTATGTGTACATATTCAAGGACGTAACAAATAGTAAAAGCATAAACTGGAAGTCAGTAGGTGACAAAATTGCTATTGTATACGAAATTGCTTTTCTATACGGAATACAGCAAAAAATCTCTGATATTTTGAAATGAGTAATTATCATTCCAAAAGTTGTTTGGGCCTTTTATTGCATTTGTCATTACATTTTTTGGTGGTATTATCTTCGAAAAAGATTCCCTCATAGAATGGATGGATAAAAATTAAGAATGGTATTAATGCTCCCAACAATTCTTGCAATGATATAGTGATTATAATCTTGATAATTAAAAAAAAAATCATATAAAATTTATTTATTTTCTGCTACAAAAAGTACATGTCTAACTGATAACAGAAGTAAATTATGATCTCCCCTCTCACGAAAAATGTGTTTGCCTATTTTTTGTGAGTGTCTTGTTGCAAGAAAATAAAAGATACTCACGACTATTAAAGACGAAGTAACCGGAGTGTTTCAA